GTTGTTGTTGTTGTTGTGGTTGTTGTTGTGGTTGTTGTAGTTGTGGTTGTTGTTGTCGTTGTTGTGTTTGTTGTTGTTGTGGCTGTTGTTGTTGTGGTTGTGGTTGTCGTTGTTGTTGTTGTTGTTGTTGTTGTTGACGTTTGCCCTTTGCTTGTTCGTTTGATTTGGTGTGGTGAGGCGGGCGGGATCGGAGAAACGCCAGTCCCAATGGTGAAAAGAGGCGCTGGCGCTGCCTCATCTCTTTAACCATTTTCACATGCTTAACAGGTGGGCATGGCAAGGCTAGACCACTATTGATGGATCACCGAAGCTTAGTGCTCCTTTGATAGTCTCATCGTCCGAGACATGTCCTGCCACAAAAGTGTGTCTCGTTTTGAGTGAGGTTTCTATGCTGTAGGCTCTCAGTTCGTCCCCAACACGTTCCATCTTCATTCCATCACCGCCACCCATCTTCACATCTGCTTCCACCATCCTTGAACCAGAAGACCGGCCACCACCAGACAAGTATTGCCCAGCCTATATAGTCCACCCCATGTCCCACCATGCCACTTTCGGTCCGGGCGGGTGCCCTGATGGGCCCCGCCTGGAGGTTGGACCCCAAAGTCTTCGCCAACGCGGCCCGCTTCGACGGCACTGGCTTCACTTCCGAGGACGGGCATGGTCTAAGGATGACGGTGGCGGTGGGGGGGGTTTGGGCGGGGCTTGGTAGTGGTATAGACATGTGGAAATAGAATGTGGTAAAAGTAGGGTTTGGGTGGTTCACATCCATTTGGAGGATGGTGTGAGACTTGATAAAAAATCAATTGTTCTTGGTGGCAGCGTTTTAGCATCTTGTTCATGTTGTGAGACACGTTGAACTACTTTGGCAGTGTGTTGGTTTTCGAGTTCTTGTGGTTTCCTGGGGCATGTTGGGGGTACCCATCTCAGGATCGACCTATCTCTTATAGGCCTTCAAAACAGCCTTCAGATGGATGTGGCGAGTGCCTCCTTTTCTCCAACTGCGCAGGTCGATGACTTGGTGCTCTTCCACTTCTTCGATGGTCCGCTCGCCCGTGTCGTGACGCCGTGGCTGCCGTCGGTGTCGGATGCGAAGCACTGGGTCAATGGCGGGGCATTCTGCTTGACCACCGAGAATGAACAGCATAGAATACTAAGGAGATCAATCCACCAGAGTTTAGAGCTCCGGATTTTCACCCACAGCCATATAGTATATACTACCATACTTGCCATGGTTGGGCCAACAGGCAGGACCAGATCCTGAGTCGCCCATCTGCCACAGTGGCTCAACAAGTGTCCCAGAAACCCAGGTTTCAGAGTCGGCCCATGAAGGTGGTGGAAAGGAACATGAAGGAACTTCAATCAGTGCGACCCTTCGAATCCAATTTGCCGGTTTTTCATGGCCACCGCCTGCGTGGCCATCGCCCAGGTTGGAACTCCAACTCTCCGGAGGGAGTGGCTGAGAAGCCCAGTGAGGGTGGACATGATCTGTTTTTTTTGAGAAACAACATGTATAATAGATTTATAAAGGTTGGGGTCTGTCGGACCTGTAGAGCTGTAAACGTTAACAAGCAAATCACTATTCTAGAGGAAGGCCAGGCCCCATCACCCTGGGAGTCCAGAAGACCCATTTTGAAAATGGTCTGACTAGGATTCGAGTCAACAAATGTTCTTTATGTCTATATAGACTCGGATAGACCCAAATATCATCTTTCGAGGTCTTCTGTCACAGCATGGCACAGCCGGTCTTTTCTTCTTCTTTTGAACGTGAACACCTCCACGTCGTCGTCGTCGTCGTCGACTGGTGATCCCTTTAAACCATGCGGCCACTCAAAGGACCGGCGATTTTTGTATGGCCCACAGACCACATGACGCGCACATGAAGATCCACAGACCACTTGGCCGCTGAATCATGTATGACGTGAATTCATCAAGAAGATCCACAGATCGCCGCGGAATCGGATTGAAGAGCTGGGTCTCGGCCATCCGGGGGCTGTTTCAGAGGCCTCGCGCGATTCGCGATTCGCGAGCGGCACGGGGACCGAGGAGCAATGGGCCACGGCGACCTACCGAGGTCGGAGCACGTGAGTCAGCGAGGGCGCAAGCTGGAAGGGGCAATGTGGAAAGGCTGAATTGGTATGTAGAACATGGTAGAACCATGCCTGGTGCATGTGGGATCATGTTGGATCCAATTTCCTTGAGTTTAGTATTAGAGTAGGCTTGGCCATGGTGGACGACTTCTGGGCCTGGATGACTGGACCTGAGCAGGTCTGGACGTAGCTTCTCCCGTCGGCCAGGTCTGGACCTTTTTCCACTGCTCTATGGCGACCCCCAAGTCGCTCGGGACACGATTGCCAGGCGCGTGGACCGAGGTGGGACGGCGGGGGGGGAAGGAATGACTCGCTTGCGGGGTCGAGTCGTCCTAGGACGACTCTCCACGAAGGGCCCCAATCAATGGCCTGTTTGCGGGGTGGCTCCTTGCGTCCTGGCCGATTTGGCCTATTTGGTGCCCTCAGGTGGCCCTCAGGTTCCACAGAATCCTCCCCCCTAGATGCTTCGATCCAGCATTCCCACCCATCCCACCCGTCCCGCATTCGCTGCGCTGCTCGGCGCGGAGGTCGAGGCTCCCGGAGGTCCAAGAGCTCCGCAGCTGCTCTGCGCTGGCCGGGGCTGGGGGAGAGGTAGGTGGGAGAACGAAGAACATCAAAAGAACATCCAGTCGATCTCTTCTGTTTTCTTTCTTCATTGACTACCCTACCCTTCTGTTTTCTATGTACCAGGATCATCCGTTCCTTTGGGTGTCCTGGCGTTCGACTACCCTACCCTACGTTTACGGGATCTTACAGGTCTCCAGACAGGGCCCCCGTTGGAAGTGCGTTGGTAAAGGGCAGTTGATGATGTAAAGTTAATCATATGAACTTCTGAACAAAAAGGATGAACTTATAGATTCAGATGTTCAATGATGTTCATATTGAATCATGATTGCTGTTTATGTCTTTTTTCTGGACGGGTGGGTGGCATTCTGTTTTCTTTCTTCATTGAGCACCATGTGCCAGCACCCAAATCAAGGCAGGTCACCCATCTGCCATCTGTTTTTGTCTCCACTCAAGCGATCCAAACTCGGACCTGCTGAACCGTGTGACTGTCCTTTCCGCCGACGTGGCGTGAACCCGACGGATTTCCACCACCGTCGGTCGGTCACGGTGTCGCCGCCCTCTTCGGTGATGCCAAGAAGATGTGGAGCTGCGAGAAGAACCGCCCTTCGCAAACGAAAAGCAGTCTGCGGCGTCAAACGAATTCCTCATTCCTCAGGAGAATCTGGTGCTTCTTCCTTTTAGACCGACGAAAACAACCCAAACCCTCGAACTCTCTTGTGATTTCTCAGGTTCGACACACCCGAGGTATTCCTGCGCCCGACCACACCCTTGGGCCAGGCAGAGTTCGGCTTGGGCACCAAGGTCATCAGCAGCCGCATTCAGGTGACGATCTAAGGCGTGCCCCGCGCACTTCGTGCGGGCACTGTGTGGACGCGGTGGTGGAAGTGGTGGGATCCTCTATGGTTTTTGCAGGGGCTTTCTTTAAAGAGACAATGTTTATAAAGAACGAGATGACCTGCTAGAAAACAAGGGCCAAGGTCGATCTGGGTTGGCATGGGTTGGCCTTGTGATTTGTGCATGTTGTGCAGCAAGCGGGTGTTGGCTTGTGGTTTGCCTAGCCTAGAGCTTTTCTTGTGCGCAACCAACAATTCGATGGCGCATGAGCATTGATTCAGCAACAAATGAGTCAAAGGGTTAAGTCAAAAGACAAAAGGAGTTGGTCGGAACTTGTCAGAAGTTTGACTCACACATGTTGTTACACAAAAAAACCGTTGGAATCCTTTGGACGCTTTGCACCGGACGACCGCAGGGCGTGGACCACGTTGTTCCGGGCGGCGTGACCGGCGGAGATGCTCCGCCCGGTCGCGGCGTGCTGCGCGGTGTGGGTCATGGCGACGCCCGGACGAAGGGGTGTCAGAGCTCGGATGTTGGGGTAATTGTCTTCGCGGGGGGTTCCATGACCGAAAATGCCCCATGTCTTCGGTGTGCGCCGACTATTTACAAACGTGCCGCGCGCGTCATGTTGGTGGGGGTGGCGGTATTCAAGAGTGACGTTTCTACCGTGTAGCACTTCGCCCTGTGGTGAGAGGAGCACTTCGCTAATGGGTTATAAGTTTATAGCCTATATCAAAGATGCATGTAATTAGTTGAAGTCCAGGAAGTGTGGGTGGCAGCGCGTTTTTGAGGTGTCATTTTTTGTTGGTCCCAAGCTGTTCACGGCACACCCGGACAACATTCGAAGTGGATGGCGCGGGTTCCTATTTGAGGATATCATGAACCCTCATCATCCGCGGTCCATCTCTCCATCTCTCCGCTGACCTCGGCCATTCGGCAGATTCGGAAACCGTGGATCCGCAGGCGTTTGTCACGCGGTTTTCGCCAGAAAGCACTGGCGGAACAGAGAAATCACCGAGCAGAATGACCTGAAATCACTTCACCACCGAACTGCAGTGCGTGCAAATCAGTGCTATCATTTCATCCTCATGTGATTCTGATTTGCACGCACTCCTGACGCGCAGATTCATTTGAAGCGCGTTCACTTCTACGCCACTTCTAGTCTGGGACGTTGGTCGAAGTTCTGCGATGCGCTGACCGGTCAACAAGGATTGCAATGCCATTCAAAAATGGTTGGCCCGACTGGGCTTGAAGATTGTCCAGCGGAGTGCACGTTGGGACATCCGAGATGAGATAAGACACAGATCATTGACAGCTTAGGCCGGTGAAATTGACTTGGGTGTGGAGCTCAAATAGGGAGACCTGCCAGTTTGACCCTGTGGAAGAAGGAACATAGATCAATCTACTTATTGGTTGGGAGGTTTCCCTATTCCAGTACCAACACACCCACCTGGACCCATTGCTTGCAGTTGAATCATCGATCGGAGGGCTGACCTAAGACTGCAGTTCGCAGCACAAACAAATTCACCATCCGCTCAATGACCCACGCAGGCCTTGATGTTGGGCCTAGCTGCATGGCAGATCCCTCGCAACGTGCGCGCGCGCTGCGCCTCTTTGGACCAACGCATGGCAGATCCCTCCGGCGCGCATGGCGACACGCCAGGGTCGACTGACCGTGGCCACGGTCTAGAGCGGTGCGATTCCGGAGTCACTCAGAACAATCAGGGGTATTGGCAACCTTCCGCAAAGTGTGATGTTAAACAGGAAAGAGGGATAGAGTCTAGAGTGCTGATGACACCTTAAAGGTTTCACGTCCGTACGGGCCCCCCGTCTTCGTGTGGGCAGGCCCACACGAAAGGGCGTTTCGAGCGTTTCAAAAGTCGAAAAAAAGTTGTAGCGGCCTTTTTTCAGCCATGGTCGGCACGCTCTCAGGTGTTTCGCGTGTGGTGGCGATACACCCACTGATACACTCTATTCCACAGCCGTGGGTTCACCAATCCTTTGGACCGGTTCTTGCTTTGTGGCGAGATGAATTTCTTCATCCACGACCACAGCCAATCTAGCTGCTGGGTGCCACTGCTTCGAGTTGACCATTGGCCCTCTTAGTCCATTGACTCTTCACATGCTTGACGTGTTTCACAGTCAAGCGCTTCGAAGGGTACTTGGCAGCAGCGGCCGACCGTGCAAGTGCACCATCTGCACACAACAAAGAACCTGCTCGAACATTCCGAAGCAAGCCTGAGGTCACTATCTCAGCACATAAAAGTCTTTTACTTTTACACCGAGAATCGGGTCCTCCCACGAACCAGCGGCCGAGATGGTGTCTGCGGCGCGCTCTTGTCTGACATCCGGATGCCAAACTCAAAAAAAGCAACGCCCGACGAACACGCGACTCGACGAAACATGACGAAGCCACGAACCGACGAAAGCACGAAACGACCCAAACACGAACCGACGTCATTTGCCCCCCCCCACCCCCTGAATGATTGTTGGAACCCTGTCTGCTTCAAAAACGTGCAAATTCACGGGGGCCCGTACGGACCTGACACCTTAAACAAGAGCACCCCGCGTATCAATCCCTCGCCGACACAGAGGACAAAGACGTACAGTGCTGTGAATGGTACTGCCTGGCGACCTGGGGATCTTTCTGCGGACACCAGTGGACAAGAAACCTGGTTCTTCGAGAAGGATGGTCTCCCCGAAGCCTCGTCCCTGTTCCTCCTGTTAACCTTGCTTCTTTGACAGCATGTGATTTTCCCCCGTGGGACAGTCACAGCTGCTAAATATGCGTCAATTGATGCAAACTGCAGCTGCATACCTCTCCCAAAACCTGATCGGGCACGCATCATCGTGGCCATCCCCACGACCGCCATCCCCACCGGGGCCTTCCGTGAGCCGACCCGACCGAAGACCCCACGCCCGCGCCGCGCGTCGACGACCACCGACGACACCCAGGAGAGTCGCGGACGCGGTGAACGGCCACGGAGACGGCGAGGCGTTCGTTGCTGGCGTCGACTCGGGCTGGAGCGTGTTTTGGGTATCGTCCGCCTCTAATGTTGTATAGAATGAATCCTGAATCTATGGCATCTATGGCTTTTCCACATATTTCGTCCATATTTGGAAGTCCCCACATGCAGAAAAGCATCCATGAAGATCATGGGGGGTTCAAAAAGGAAACACATCCATGTCATCATGAAGAGGTTTTGAGCATCCATATGAGGTCCATATGTCTCAATCAGTTCGCAGGGTTGGTGTTTTGGGTGTTTTGGGTGGTGCAGTCATGCTTCCAAGGTGTGGATTTGGAGTATTTTTAGAGAAGAGCGAAGGGGTGAACAAAGAGGTGATCTCACTCAGGTGAAGATCGCAGGTGGAATCCTTACTGAACCCCAAAGTCTAAGACAGAGTTCACTAAGGTTAGATCACAGGTGGTCACCTTTCACAGGTCACGCCCAAACATATACGAGTCTTTTCTGCTGAAGGTAAAGAAGGCAAAGGGGCAGTTTATGAGGAAGATGATACCAGAAGACTAGGGCTGGCTGACCCCCATCAGAGCAGACCGAACCGCACCCTCAACATGTGCGATGACGTCTCAGAGTCTTCATACAAGAGCGTTGGAATTCATATATGCTGCTCCAAGACCTGGGCTTTTACGATAGGGGATTCACTCAAACAAGGTTTGAACACATTGGAAAACGATATAGAGGATGCAAAAGCGAAATCTGAGGATGCAAGAAAGCCGCACAGTTTTCCGTTGTGATGTTGATCGGTACCTCATATGTGTCCGCCATGGCAGCAGGGTTGACCTTCGCTACTTCTGGAAGCATTTCCCTGACACGTGACATGTGTCCAGTGCCTGGAAGGCCGATATATTCCTGGGTTTTGCTTAAGAACATTTTTTTCTATATGTTCCTTATGGTTCAATCCTCAATCCCCTTCTGGGGAATAAATTTGTGTTTTTTCCAGGTTCCTTAAGCAACTCCACGAGTTCTTGGTGTTTTGGAAGAACATCTGGGACAACTTATTCAGCATACCCTTGGCTGAGCTAGAACGCCCGCAAGTCTCCGGGATGGAGGCACCCCCATTTTGTTTGGCTTAGATACAGCGATCCAGAAATCTTTCTTTGTGAGGCTTTCTTTCTACTGAGGTTTTTGAGTGTGCACCACGTGGTATGCTTTTTAGGGCTTTCCCTTGAACGTGTGCTCAAAACGAGTAGTTGCAAAGATGTACGTATAGTGCGTGATTTGGACATCAATTTGGACGTTCTTGTGTTGAGTCTTCTAAAACAGATAAGGTATATACGGAAGAGGGGAAAGCAACGTAGGTTCATGTTGTGGGAAAAGGGCGGCGGCGAGTTGCTGCGATTGTTGTTGGACAGATCACCCCCAATCATGAAGCTTGAAAGGAAAACAACAGACATGTTTAAATTTGTTTGTTTTGTGAAAGCTACAAGTTCACCCGAACACGATATCCAAGTTCAAGATGTGGGGTTTCGGGCATGCCGGTTTGGTCCGTCAGACAGAGGCTTAGCCTCTGCCCCCACGGCGCTCACATGGCTCGTTCGGGCCGAGAATCTGCACCGAGTCGCACGGACGCACGGTGGCGGTCGCATGGTCAGACCTGGAGGAGTCTGGTGTGCGACCGCTCGTTCGGGCAACGGTTCAATCGAATAGAGGACTCCAGGACCTGTCCTTCGCTCCAAAGACCCTGCACCGAGACCGGGTCCACGGGGGATTTTTTTCACTCACTCTGAGTGGATGTGCTCCGACCGGTCTCTCTTTCGGCTCGAGCCGCGGGAGATTCCCCCACGGCCCAACCGAACCGTGGTGGTCCCGAGAGCTGCGAACCGCGCTCCGCCGGATGCAGCGATGGAGCTTCTTTTGGCTCCTGGTGGCGAAGCTCGCAGTGGCCGAGCTCGACTGTGACGGCGTTACCTGTGAGGTGGAGTCGATCCACCTGCTGCAACATGCGCATACGCGGGAAGTGAGGAAGAGCAAGGCGAGGGGGTAGAACGCGTGGGGGGAAAAGGTCTTCGGTGCACCGGGGAAGGGAAGTGCCCTGGGGGAATTGCACCTCCTGGGGGTAAGTGGTGGGGACTTTGATGATTTTTGGAGGTTGAGTTGATGTATTAGGAGGAGAAAAAGAACAATAGCAAGTCCAGGTGTGTGATGGTTTGTCTCCGGAGAAACGAGCTCTCCAAGGTCATCCGGAGAAACGGGCTGTGCTGTCTCAAGACCGACCAACGACCGGCCGATTCGGGAAGACCTTGGGGGGTCAAAAGCTCGCAACTTGGGTTGATTGACCCCGTTACAAACACATAAAAAGCACGACCAGACCGTTACAAACACAAAAAGAAACACAAACAGATTCCTCGGTTTTTCACGAAATGTCCACTTCCCATGGTATTTTGGTATACGGTGAGGTTGAACTTCCCCACACCCCGACGTCAACCCATGGACCTTCCCCGAGGCCCCCTCGGCTCGTCGACCCGATCGACCGATCGACGTCGCTCCGCGGCGACGTCGCGGAGCGACGTGCGAGGCTCCTGAGAGGCCGGAGGCCTTGGCAAGTCCGTTTGCCGAAGTCTTGGTCCTCTCGATCAACGAGGAGAAGTACAAGCTCTCCAAAGCGGAGCTCAAGGACTGGAGAAGAATGGGCACGTGACTGGAACTGGGAGTGGACGTGAAGTGGGAGAGAGTGGGATGGCTTAGTGTTGGATGGCTTCTGTAGCTGGGCACTTACCAGCCCAGCAGCAGTTTGGGGACTCGTTCGGTGAGGCGCGTCGCTTCCGCGTGTTTGTTCGAACATAGAGGTGGCACACAGAGGGTTGGACCACGTTTGACCCATCAATGTGGTGTGTGTCAGTCGAACTGGTATTTTTCTGGTTGAGTACTCTTCCGGTGATGCCACAAAACCAGTGTGGGGGGATGAGTTCGGGCAGGATGAAATCCAGGTGACCCCATTCGACTTGCGGCAAGATGCGACACTTGCGACAAAGATCAGTTTGAGGCGCACGAGTTTATGAGTTTATGCTCTGTCCCAAGGAGACCGCGGGAGACCGGAGACCCAACAAGTGATACAAGTGCCACCTTTAGCAGCAAGTTTGCCGCTGAAAAGGTCGAGGAATGACTTGCAACATCTGGTTCCAGCATGGGCTGGCCACCATGGCCACCATGGTGGCGGGTTCTGCAGCATTCTCCCAAGCAAAGTCAAGAGAGCTCCCAAAGCTCTCGCCAACGCTCTCGAACAGAAGAATAGAACACATTCACACATGACATGACCAAAACAGTCTATACCGCTTCTTGTTTTCGGTTTTCCAGGACCAGGGCATTGTGGCGGTGAGCCGCGTGAAGGGCTTCAACGCCTCGAGGGACTCGGAGCTCTCAGAAGCTTTGGCTCTTTTGACGGAATACGGAAACGCCAATAGCCCCTTGGCACAGTGTCCTTAGGGTGGCCTTGCCATGCCGCGCACTATATAGACATGCCCAGACGTATTAGACATGTGGCATGCCTCGTCGCAGGCCTCCGGTGGGTTTTGGAGTCCGGTAGGGCTTTTTGGGTGGTCTTGGCCGCCTTTTTCAGGCCATGGAGGGGGTCAGCTGGGGTGTAGCATTCTGAACAAGCACCACCTGAGCTGCCCCAGTTGCAGTGATGAAACATGGCGGCTTCGAGAAGAAGCAGTACCCGAGGTAGCTCTCTCCCACCCGCCCTACCCGCCCTACCATGAATGGTTTCTTCTAACAACTCACCAAAACGGCAGAAGGTCAGTTCGGAACTCGAGGTCTCCACCATACGGTGAGCAATTGGATGCTGTGCCTTCATACGTCGCCCGGCAATCCGCCGAACTTTGGTGCGGCCAACAGCGAATTCTGGAGGAACTTCTTCCGGAGCTCACCCAGGATGGTGCTGGGCAGTGAGGGGCAGGGGGGCAGGGCTGACGACTGTGTTGAAACGACAAGAAACGGTGTTTTGGGCATGTGGGATGGCCGCAGGGGGGGCGTTTTCTGGGTTGGAAGCAACACGTTTTGGGTTGGCCAAGCCTACCCTCCGAGTCATTATGGAAGTGGAATGAGCTCACCACTCATCTACTTAACCATATGAGTCTTTCAGAGTGTGAAAATACCTCCCAAATACTTACATTCCGCCAAACACTCCCAGCCAGCTCGTGTCCCTCAGCTGTCAGCACAGTTCTGAGCTGTTGCGCGGCGAGGAATGTGTCTGAGCTGCTGGACCGAGACCAACACAACTGTGTGCCGAAGGTGGTGGCCATTGCAGCGGCGCATCTGCGACTGTGGAAAGAGCTGGCCGAAGGGAAGTTGCAGACGAAAGAGGTGGAGGAGCAGACGAGAGAGAGAGAGAGAGACGAAAGGGGGAAGAGCTCTATAGAAGCTGAATGAACGATTTTGGACCGCCCCAAGCATGATCATGTCCTATCAAAACAGGTCGGTCATGTTTGGGCTCTAGGCAAAGAGGGAAGAGGAAGAGGCGCTTCCTCCGGCGGAAGAGTGGTGGTGGACCAAGTGGACCACAAAAAAACCATTTGGCCGGGCCCAAGGGGTCGAGGCCGGTGATTCCATCTCACCGCTGTTTTTCTTGTTGGCCTCGGGAGAAAACCACCGCTGTGATCGGCGTATGCGCCCTGGTCGGCTTGGCCCCCTTGAGACCGCCGTTCGGCCTGACGTCCGAGTTCGCGTCTGAACGCCACAAGACGCCACCCTCTCACCTGAAAAATGAAAGCACGCACGTCTGCCACGGAAAGGTCAGATGAGTCTTAAGGGGGTTCAGTCTCTTATTTATAGAGTGTAGACAGACGCTCCAGGATGGTGTCGCTGTCGCTATAGGAACTCCGACAGGTGCGGTACAAGCCAAAACGGTGAGTACAAGATAGTACAAGCCCGTGAAAGACGGAAGAAAACGGTCTTTAGGACACCTCTAAAAAGATTAAAAAAGGAAGTTCCTTTACTTGACTAAGGAATTTCAGCATCGAACTGGACTTCCAGGGCAAACCTTTGACTGCCTCGCCTTTTTTGGAGACGAAATGCACGTTGACGAACTCGAAGCGCCCGGGGCACGGAGACGAGAACTCGAACGAAAGAGAGTTCCACCATGGTCCTTCGAGCGGTGTGAACCGTTTTGTCGTCCAAAAGGTGTTTGTGTGTGTTTCTTTTGTGTTTGATTCGCCAGATATAGCATAGGCAGCTATAGGCTATAGGCGATAGCGGCTAGCCCCGCAACTTTTCAGTTGTAGCCGCAGGAGAAAGATCCATGGTACTTGGTCATGGAGGAGGATGTTGATTTGTGCCCCTACTGGCGACAGAGGATGGAGAAAGAGCTGCCTCAAGCACCGGCAGATGCTGAAATCATCAAGTTATACTTCTTTGGGCATTGGCGCAAGGAGGATGAGGTGGACAAAAGTTGTCGAAAGAATGGATATCCGTGGACATTTCGAAGAATGCTCACCACTCCTGGAAGTAGAATGACAGATCTGAGTGCTAGAAAGTCAGAAATTCGACCATTGAAGCTAGGAGACCGGGGCGGTGTTGACGGACTAAGGGTACAAAGGTGACAACATGCAGCAACCTTCAATGCAAAGACAAGGGATTTGAGTCAGCAACAGGGCCTAACCATAGATGTGTCAGGTTCAGACACATCAAGTGGGCATAAGTGAACACATAGTCCGAGATGCGAACTTGTGACCCTCTATTTTGTTTGTATGACATGCGAGCGAAAGAGGGTGCATCGGTGCACGGGTGCATTTTGCGTGACATGCCAGATCTAATTCTCATCTGCCGCAGACTGATGCCTTGATGTGATACACTTTCTGTCTGCCATTGATTCCATCCAATCCATCCGACCTTCTCACTCTGCATGAGCTCAGGCCTTCCAACCACGCAATCTTCTCCCCAAAACGCTCCGGCCAGGTGAAGGTGTCCGTGCGCAACGACTCCGAGCCGGCTACGGTGACGCCCTTCCTGGACGCGCGCGATCCCTTGCGCGGCTTCGATTTGTTCAAAGCCGCCAGCTACGAGTTCCTGCACGGTGCCTCCTGGTCCTCCGTGCCGGTGGCCGGCTTCTATGCTGGAACGCAGGTCGGCCGCCCGCGCGACGACCCGCAGCGCGAGGCGACCGTCGTCGCCGTGCGTGTCGCGATTGGTCGTCGTTCCGTCGGGCGGTCGCTGGGAGAGAGAGAAGGAGGAGGTGTTTTTTTTCGGTGGGTGGAAGGGGAGTGGGCGGGATGTTGTCGGTGAAGGAGTGGGATAGTGGGAGAGCAATCTGATAGTGTGAGGTTTTGGGAAAGAGATCATCAGATTCATCACTCACCATAGTCACCAGCCTAGTCTTCATCAGTCAAGCAGCCGAAAAAAACTGGCGGCGACTCGTCACGTCACCGCGCCTTGAAACATCTGTGTGTGGCCAACGTTGCTTGGAGAGACTCTGCGCCGCTGTGCCGTTCCGTGCTCGCGTGCGACTCGCGTGCGACTCGCGTTGCGACTCGCGTGCGACCAAGCGCCAGGCATATTTGATTCGGCCCTCATCGGCACGGAAACTTTTGAAGCAGATCCGGGGGAAGCCCTTTCAGGCGCACGGGATGGGCGGCGGCCATGGCCACGGATGGGGGGAGTAGGAGGAAGTCAGACCGCCGAACGGTCCAGGTGAGATGGGATGTATGTTGGTTGAAGTGAATGAGAGTTTTAGGTCGGTTCAAAACAGGTATTGCTAGGGTCGACCGACCTCGATGCCGATGCAGTGTGTGAACAGGGATTGTGGTCATCCATTGTATGGGCCGGGAAAGAAACCACCGCGATGCAGCCCGACGGACTTGACGTTTGGGGCTTGGGGGACCTGCCGGTGCCCCCCCTCATTCCACCCCCTTTGTCCTCGTTCTTTCGTCGCAAAGGACCTCCTCCCCGGGACCGGTCGCAGGACATTGACATGACGATGATGCTCTCAGCCAACAACTACGTCTGGCGACGGGTCTTGGCACAGGGAAGGCCCGAGAACGTGGACCTGTTGCAGGACTGGGAGAGGGGGGAAAGAGATGGGAAGAGATCAAAAAGAAAACAGTCGCACTTGAGTCGGTGTGCGCCCACAGCTCGGAAGCGGAAGGCCGTCCACACCATCGTCTGGCCCCGTGAGGGGCAGGTCTCTCTTGTCCTTCCCTTATTAGGAAGCACGAACTATCAGAGGTCGAACCAGGTCATTGCAAACACGGATAGGCCTCCGATCACAAAAAAACTTGATGTCCTCAAGACCCCTCCTGCGGACCTGGTTCGAACATCTGAGCGCAAGGCCTGTTTGTGGTGGGCCAACTCCCACCGCACTAAGATCGATACCCCTGATGTCCAAAGAAGGGAAGTCAAAACAAACCGAATAACTCCGAACACACGAACGAACCAACCGAACAACCGCCGCTAAAGTCTGAGAGGATTTCAAACAGCCACCACTGGACTTCGAGGGTATCCACTGACCTTTACGGGTGCCAGGGACCGGAAGGTCACCATCAAACCATCTGTGGCACCAAAAAGCTAACTCCAGCCAAGAAACTGCACAAGGTGGCTGGGCATCATCCGAATGTTCCATCAACAAACGGATCAGCTGGATGCCAAAATGACCAAAACTAAAAGAAAGCTCATTCATGTGAGCCACCCCGCTCCAGTTAGACGGAAGCACATCTGGAAACGTGTCCACATCTAAAGTATGACGGGGAAGGCAAACGGGTGTCACCTCCTCAACCGCCTCTGCCTCTCTGAACGCTGCCTTGTGCAGCTGGGTCAACCGTTGCCACTCACTGCCAATGTCACAGTGCAATTCTTGCAGGGCTCGAAGCGTGTGCAATTCAGCATTCTGAAAGCGAACTAGATCGAACCACAAGCCACGCACCTCATCACTATAGCAGGAATAGGCTGCGGCGGCAGCCCTGTCAGCTAACTGGTTCCAGTGCGCAGCCCACGCCTGTACAACCCCTTCACAGTCTTTTTCATCACAGTGAGCCGGAATGTGACGAACAACAAAAGGATGTTGAAGCTGTTGCAAGAGTCGACCACCAATTTCCCACAGATCACTATTCGATTCATATGGGGAGTCATGAACCCAGGCCTGCATTCTCCATATCCCTACAGCTGTATAGGCACTGTCGGTCCAGCAAGCTGTTGGTCCATCATGTTGCTGCGCCCATGACAGCGCACCCAGCAGCGCAACCAATTCTGCCCTGTCACTGGAGTGACAGAAACCTGGAACGACTCCTGCCGATAGAGTCCTTTCATGAGTGCTGGAAACAATGGCCCATGTCGAAAGACCACATTCAGGCATATCCGGGCACATGCAAGATCCGTCCGTGAACAGGTCTACCCAGCCATCAACCGGCACCGTGCTTTCAAAGTGAAATCTTGGGCAACCAAGTGGGCCAAGGGCACGTTGATATCTGCTCCAGCCTGGAAACTTTTTTGGCAGAAGCCGGTGACGTTGAGACACCGCCATCTCATGCCATCTAGCCCGAATTGCTGCATGTTTCTGGTGAACAGATGTCAGCTGAGTGCACACCATGCAACGATGGTCCAGGTCGTCAGGCACCTGGCAGAAGGGACACAAGGCTGCTGTGAAGTTGTCATACTTCGACTGTTGCACAGCTGTACAGAAGGCACCTTCTTGAAGAGATGCAACCTGAGCTTGCTGTCGACCTGTCAGCTGTCGTTGTGCCCTCCTAATGACAACCCAATTGATCAGCTTCAGGCCAGCATAGTCCTTTCTGTTGCTCACTTCACCCGAGATCCAGTCCATCCATGCATCCTCAAGTTGCAGCAGCAATTGAGGTTCAGGCACACCAAGCAAGTCAATCTCAACTCCATGGTGATTGCAGACTATTGGAGGCATGACCATCCTCCACCCCAGAGGTTCCAGAACTTCAAGCAACTTGGAAAACGGACCTGCCCTGAGCACTCCGTCAAAACCTTTGAAGTGTTGCACCCACAGGTCCAAAACCATTTCTTGTTTCGCTGCCATTCGACGGAAGTCGGTCACCACCCGAACTGTCTGGTAAAAGCCTGGATCAGCCTTCACAGGGGCAATGAGCGACATGCGAATCAAGGGAGATGCTCCAGCTCCTCCATGTGCCAACGCTTTGACCGCTGCAGTGCGAAGAGATGCTATATGAGAAGGACCCAGCAAGCACACCGACACTCCATGCAATGCTCTTGGCCAAAAGGCCTGTTGCAGCACCATGTATTTGAGACGATCATCAGCCCCGAGTTTGCGCAATCTCACCCACAGATCATTCAGTGATGCCAGTCTAGCCCGTTGCACCTCAATTCTGCGAGCCCCAGTGTAGCTGTGCTGAACTCCAAGATCACCTGCACTCGTTTTCACATCCAGGCCCATGACCTCCAAGGCACCTTTGTCACTGGCTCTAGTAGACCAAGTCCAAGATTTTCGAAGATCCATATCCAGGGTCCAGAGATGAAGGAATTCCTGAAGCACAATCTGGCCACGTTGCAGATGAGCCACCTCCATACTCAACAAACCCAGGTTATCAACAAATGACAACGGCACGGTCTCTGGAGCAAAGTGGTGCATGTAGAAATGAAAGCAAAGATCAATGATGCCCATGGCATAACAGCTCATAGCACAGCCCTCTGGAACTCCTGAGGTTGAATCTAGTGGCGGTCCAACCTCGCCTCTGACAACAAACCTCCGAACCATGCCATGCAAGAACTGATCCCAGGCTTGAATGATCTCTTGAGGAGCACCAATATGCATCGCCAGTTTGAAGACAGGGAGTCTTGGAATGTTTTCAAAGGCCTTCTGGATGTCAGTGACCAAACCTTGCATGTCGGTGTTTGATCCTACACACAGCTCAATCAATCCTTGAACCAGGAAAGAAATTTGCAACGCTTCTCTGCCCGGAAGGAATCCCAGTTGAGTGTCAGCAGCCATGTCAGCTAAGTGTGCCAGAAGCGGTCTCGCTCGAGCTGTTGACCAACTGCGATATATGGCCGAAAAGACAATAATGGGTCGAAAGTGTGCCACTTCCGAAGCTGTTGCCGTTTTGGCCAAGCAGGCTACAAATCCTGTTAATAGCTGAAGCGGCCACTGGATCTGCTGAAGCTCAACTGCTTGCAACAAGTCCAACAATGCAGTCTGGAAGCCAGCTGGCGCGTGTTGGAGATCTCTCCCATGAAAACCGTCCGGTCCCCGAGCTGCTCTATCATTGTAGCGTGCATTCACATGTTGCCATGCATGCAAGGAGATGGCCTCATAAGCAAGCTTCCGTCTGGGCAAGAAAGCCTTGCCAAACGACAAGATTCGCTGCCAGTCCGCTTCTTGAGTTGTAGCATGCTTGCGCCAGCGTGCTGACCAAAACTCCAGCAAGACCTTCTGGATTGTGTCAACTTGCGTACAGAAGCTTTGGCATTCAATGCTCTGATCCGGCTGCAGCAAACAATCAGCATCAACTACACGGAACACATCGTCTTCCTTTCTCTCAAGCTGAATTTCAGCCATGCCATCCACTAGCCATATCTGACTATCATGCACCCCTGTACCTATGGCCTTTTCCAAATGAAGTTCACTGCCATCTGGCGACACCGCCATGATGGTTGTCTCCTCAGTTGTAGCCAGGGAGTCCAGATAATCTTTTTGATGCAAGCGAACCCGTTGAAACACTTTTGCCTTGTGTGCTGCAAGCTGGGCTCGGGAGATCTCTTGTTGACGCCTAAGCTGCCAGCTCTCATAGCGACGGAAGTTGCAGTTGAAATCAGCAAACAAACGCTCGGCAATATCCAAAGTCGGGACACCCGCCGGCAGTACTGCAGGTGACCCCTGCAGTTGCACTTGTCTGCCAAGCCACCAGCTGCGAAATCCATTGCGAAAACCTGATGCTTTGCAGATGGCAACCCAAGTCTCAAGCCTGTGTGCTTGTGCCGAGCCAGAATGATTGCCTGACCGCAGACTTTGAACTAAAGCTTGCAATCTTCGCAGCTGCCGAAACCACAATTGCACACCACGCCCAGCCAAATCTGACAGTAAACGCTCTTCTCCATGTCTGGCAGGTTTACTCAACGGTGCCTGAGGTGGTCGAAGCACTGGTTTGAGCATACTGCCCCGCCCTGTGGACCCAGGATGGAGGCCTTCTGCAGAAGAGGAAACAAAGCCTTGCAGACTGCCTTCAAAGGACTTCGCCCAGAGCTCAAATCTCTGAGTGCCATCTAGATTATCGACTTGCAATGCACTGGTACTTGCAAATTGTGCCTGCCATCCTTTAACATCCACCGTGGTCCAGTCAATAGCTCTGGGAAGCGGCCAAATCCAGTGAGGGACATTATGTCGCTGACATTGAAATGTTCCCCAAACCACCGAGTGGTCAGAAAAGGAGTCTACGACCGAAGCAGAGATGAATCGAGCTGCAAGTTCCGGGCTGACAAAGATCATATCCCGTTTGGTCTTGCCCTTGCAAGTCATTCGAGTAGGTTCACAATGCCGCTCAAAGTGGAGAGTTTGGACTTCTATCCAACCCATTGATTTCCAGACCTGTATGGCTTCAAGTTGGTCCTCATCATGATTGAAGTCCCCCATGATGTAGCGGCAGCCCCCTCGTCTGAGCACGAGATGTTCAGTCACCTGTTGCAGCAA